AGACACTTACCTGCTATCCTTCTTATGGTTGCTGTGTTAAATATATTAAAGTAATGTACACCAAATATTTTGCCCAGGCGTTTGCAGAGGTCAGTCAACTCGGCCTGGCATTTCTTAACCATTTCCTCCCTCTGAGATGTAGCTGCCGTAACAGATGCCTTTTGCTTCCGGAGACTGCTGGCATTCTCTGTGTCCTGGAACTCAACCTGTTAGGAATAAGTATACAATCTCATTAAAGATGATCATTGTATTACCTTCATCTTGAGGAGTCTTGATTTTTTTTACGATGTTGTGTGTAGAAGTATACTGGACACATACCTTTGTGAATCCATTTAAAACAGCTTGGGCTCGCTCTCCAGTCTTCATATAAGCCACAGCCTGGTCATTGGCTGTAATATATAACTCTTCATCCAAGATTCGGTCCAGAATCAGTTTCCGGAATAATCGCTCTGCATTGTGCCGTGAATAAGCTGCTCCCTTTCCAAATATACCAGTCTGGACCTTTGCAGATTTACTGCCTGTAAGAAAAGATTACAGCCCATTGGATTTTTTTTAATAGGGACATACTGACCGACTGTGAGACACTGCTTACCTAGAAATATATCCACCATCATATTGAGTGTTAGGCGGTTACCAGAATTTTTTCCTTTCCCATAACCAGAAGAGCAATGTTCTTGGACAAATCTTACTAAACTCTTCACATCCTCTGTCACATCTCTAGATTTGTATTGCTGAAAATCAAAAACAGGGACAGAGCAACATTTAGTTTAATTATAGTTCTATCACTTTTATTCCCATCTGCCAATAACCTCTCGAAAAGGTTTTCTTAATCTTGTACGTAAATGCTGACCTTGCACAAACAAGCTTAACCTACAGTAGTCAGAAATCAAAATTGTATATTTTTGCAGCTCTATATGGATATAACACAAAATGTTATTGGTTACTGAACTTTAAACATCACTAATGCTGCCCTAGGCTTTGCACACATGTCACTATATATACACGCCCCTGTGCTTTCAGCTGTTCTAGGCCGTCAATGAGCAGACTCCAACCCAGTGGTAGTGGTACCACGAACATATATAGAGCAACATATCTCCTAAAAACACAAGATATATCAAAAGACACTCAAGGGGCTTATCGTTTTTCCCTTTGCCATCCAAGATATCTCAATGTTAGCCAGTGTAATCTACTAAGTGACCATCAATTACACTGCAAATGAATAAACAAAAGCAGATGAATGTTGCCTAAGCTGCGTACTCTACCAATAGCTAGGCAGGCCTGTACCGTAAATATTACAAATCTACTGTGAAAAGAGCAGTTCTGTTGTCTCACCGTTGTCCTGCAGCAGTTGTCACATGCCACCCTGGGGTTCTCTTTGCAGAATTTAGGATTAAATGTAGTCTCTCCAAAGTAAGCAAGAAGTTGCATCCGGCGGCAATCCAGGACATTCTCACAGTAATGTATCATGCTGTACAGGTTGTTAAAGTGCGTCTGTTTCGTATGCCTGTTCCCATCTTTCTCCACTACCAAAGAAAACAAACAGCTACTTATGTATTTGTTAGATCCACCACCCGGCTCAAACTAATAAATTACGCAATAAATTTACTTAATGAAAAATACACAAGGGTTATTGTGTCGTGTGTATCTGTATTTTTTTTTTCTTCAATAAGTTTTTCAAACAAAAGAATAGAATACAGGGCATTTCACAGCCAAAAGAACAATCAAGAAATTACAGCAATAGGAGAAAAGGTTATGTCTATCCCTATCTTAAACATAAGAATAGGACCTGCTATGTGTTTAAATAGCGATCTCTTTATATATTATATTTTTTTAATATTAATGATGCATTTTGATTTTGCATTTGTTAAAAATAAAAATAAAAATCCTCTGCTGGACATTTCATTATAATTTGTAAAGTAGATTTGAACACTGCCTATCCTAACAAAAGGTTAAAGGATTACAACCAGGGTTGTGCCTTGTATGTTAATGAGTGAAACACAATCCACAAATTGCAGTCCTAAGCCTTTCTAAAAGGACAGATCATTCTGAAGATGCTCAGAAAAACCTAGATTCAGCCATCTTGCATGCTGCAACAAAACACCTAAAAAAGGGTAAGAAATATTTATTATTTTTTGTTATGCTGTGTGAATGGAAAAACATGGCAAACGTATAGAAGGGTTTTCTCAAATTTTACTGCAATAGTGGACACTGTATTTTAAGTGGCATGAATGGTCAAAATAATCCGCAAGGATCATCTCTGTGGACTCCTTCTTGGCAACTTTGTTCAATATAAACAACAAAAAGACTTACTCTGTATAAGCCTTCGGATTCTGGTCACATCGCTGTAGCTGTAGAAAAGCAGACAATGTGACATCTCTCCATCTCGACCAGCCCTGCCAGACTCTTGGTAATATCCTTCCACAGATTTAGGCAGAGAGGCATGAATGACGTATCTCACATCTGGCTTGTCGATGCCCATTCCGAATGCTATTGTAGCACAGATTACCTATACAATACAGTGAAGGAATAGCATAGCATTCATTTCAGGAAAACCAACAGGTTATCACACAACATACATTGAGTGTATATAAACAAAAAGATCAAAGGGAAAAAAACAACCCACCATAGAAGGAGGTCATTGTGCACACAAGGCCACTACCTATTAGTAATTTATACCTGGCATCCATCCTGATTTATCCATTGCTGTTGTACATAGTCTCGGTTAGGGTTACTGAGCCCAGCATGGTAAGCCAGAGCTGCCAATCCCTCCCGCTGGAGAGTCTCAGCCGTAGTATCGCACTCGTGTCGTGACAGGCAGTAAATGATCCCAGAGTCATCTAGAAAATAAAATGGTCAGACTTATGCATACCATATTAAATGCTCTCTGACCCTGGACACAGCCAGGAATTGCATACCCACAGTTTTTCACGATCTAGACAATAGCAAATAAAAATATGGTGCCAATGTAAACAAGCTGAAGCACAAGTTACCCAAGTACCCCGATATACCCTGTTAAATCCTTTTTGTGAAGGAAACGGGGCATGGAACCAACAACACAGGGTAGAAAGAGAACACACTTCTCTGAATCTGACTAGACTGAGAAAGGAAGAAGGATCAAATCGAGTAAAACTTGCACAAATGCTAATCTCACAGACACACAGTAAGTGTAAAAACAGGAGGAAACGCAGCAAACAATGACAAGGTTAGACCATTGTTTGCAGGCATAAGGGTTGTAAGCACAGATTAGCTGTCTCTGAGGCAATGTGCATAACCGAGCAAGAGGACACCTCAAGCGCCGCCCTTCCTAGAGAGAAGCCAACTAAAGGGAGATATTCTGATAAACTGAATAAATCAGTGTAGTGCGAATAGGTGGGTCCAGCACAAGCAAGGATAATGTTTCACATGTATGACATTTGTCCCTGCAATCCAGTGTGGCATAGAACATGAGGCAATTTCGCTCCTGAGAGCAAAATGGACATTTTCTTACGATGCCATTGGGAGAACTAAGAAAAGGGTAGGGAGTAGTGTGCCAGCAGGTCTCTTACTCTCAGACCGGCCAATGAAAGAAGCATTTACCACAGGAAACAAAGCTAGAAGTTTGCCCATTCTTGCCAGTAGTGCCGAGTCACACATATATGGTAATGGGCATGTAACCCACAAGGGCAGGGTTGAAGAAAAGACTTTATTAAATGTCGTATACATGCCAGCAATAGCCTGCACCTGTTAAGACAGCATCAGTTTTTTTGTCCAATCCAGAAAGAAAAGCTACCTTAACTGTTTAGACTGCTAGATAGAAAGCACTTCTACAATGGCTCCAAAAATTGAGGAATGTGGCACCATTGCTAAATATTTTGAGAAAAGAGTCTTTAGTATGTTAGTTCCCTGATATATATATATATATAATATA